CAGGCGTATGCTAGGAGCTTTAAATCGAGTATTCCGAGATGCACCACAAGCCATTCGTCTGACTCTTTACAAGACTTGTGTTCTACCCAAAATTGACTATTGCTCAGCAGTTTACGATTCGAACTTTTCAACTCATCTTGCTCAACGAAAACTATATATGAGTGTTTAATATTTCTCTTTTTCTAGGTTGATCTGGTTTATCGTACTAACTTTTTGAACATGGCAACTCAACATCAGACAGACAACGTGTCGCTGTAAATATCTAGAGAAATCTTGTATATGTGTCATGCAAATTATAGTTTTAGACAAAACTGAAAGAAGCCAATTAAGGGATTGTGATCGGGTCAGTTTATAGAGCTCATCGATCAGTTTATATTCAGTATTCTTCGAGTATGAATTTGCGGGTACGAATATGAAAAATAAGAGTATTTGAATCCTGAGATGCAAATTCGTGTATAATTTTATGTAAAATACGTTAATATTATTCTGAACAATCTTTCATACTCTTTCTAGCAATTAAGTGTATCTGGAATATGTCTTAAGGGTCGAACATCAATTTTCCAAAAATTTTAGAAATCGGGAAACAATACAAACATTATATTTTTTATTTCTCTCCTTGTTTATTTAAAATCCTAATTAGTTTCAGAAAAAAATCAACAAACATCATATTTGTTTTTCAACTGATTTTAGCTGAAAACATTTTAACAAAGATAGGTTTTAGTTTTGGCTAAACAAAACCAAAACTTTAAAGATGTCAAAAATTCTTCAATTTTGCCTAAGACTATAATTTGCATGACACATAAATGTATACCAAATATTTATTTATATTTTTGTTACCAGTTCTTAAGTTGCGGAAGCGAGGACATGATTTCATAAATAAAAGTGTCCAGTATATTTCTTTCTAGATTTCAACATATTATATCCTAGACACATTATGACACCAATCATTCGTTTGTATCAGTACTTCGTGAAAAAGGGGGAAAAAAGAAAACCAAGATGTGTCTGTATTGTCATCATCGTCGTCAGATGATATTAGCTGCTTTCTTCAACTGTACATGATGTAACACGTGACATAGCTTGTCATAAACGAACTAGCCATGCTTAAATAAAGATGTGACTTGCATTGTGAGACCATGCAACTCAAGCCATAATTGGCGAAAGTCATATTGGCATACCTCCATGATTCCGAAAAATTAGAGAAAAGTCTGGGCTATAAAATGAGATCACTCCCAGCTCTTCATGACCTTCCTTGAAAAAATTATGAAGTTCTTAAGGTTTTCCTTCAAAGCCTAAAAAATCGCAATATTTTAGGTTCGTAAATTTTTCTCTCCTTTCCTATATATTCAAAATTTTTTCTTATAAGTAGCATGATAGAAGAACGTGTGCTCTTCAAAATAAGATGTTTCCCAAAAACTTCTGATGAATTTTCTTAGAGATATAAGCATAGCAGCAAATGTCCTGAAAAACAGAGCTCTGTGTACAATATGTTTTTCTCACCATACGTTTTTTCAATAATGTGTGCTTCAATTGGCACACATCACGACCCCTCGAAAAAATGGTCTGATCGAGCTCAAAATTTTATCACAGATACTTCAGACCCTATATCAGATTTCGTCCTTTTTAAAAATCGTTTTCAACTTCAACTTTCGGCGTGAGAAGGTTTTCAAAATGAAAAATCGTTTTTTTATGCGGGATTTTCAGTATTTTTCGGATATCTCGAAAAGGGAAGACTATTTTTCGAAAAGAAAAAAACCGAACCTGAGATAGGGTCTGAAGTATCTGTGGTAAAATTTTGAGCTCGACTAGACCATTTTTTCGGGAGGTCGTAATGTGTGCCACTGAAAACTGGAGTTTTCCAGAAAACCCATAGAAGAACACGTCGGAAAATTCTGGGCAAAAATACATCGATTTTCTTTTTCGATGTTCTATCTCTGGTATAAATTAGAACCCGATCCAAAATCGGTTTCCTTAGTTTCCAAGAGGGGAAAAAAAGAAGGAGGGGCTACCCTTAAATGAGTACTTATGATTTTTCCAATGACTATTTTGCTTTTTTTCCAATGACTATGCTTATATCTCTAAGAAAATTCATCAAAGTTTTTGGAAAACATCTCATTTTGAAGGGCACACTGTCTTCTATCATGCTACTTATAAGAAAAAATTTTGAATATATAGGAAAGGAGAGAAAAATTTACGAACCTAAAATATTGCGATTTTTTAGGCTTTGAAGGAAAAACTTAAAAACTTCATAATTTTTTCAAGGAAGGTCATGGAGAGCTGGGAGTGGTCTCATTTTATAGTCCAGACTTTCCTCTACATTAGACTATGTTCAGCTCAAAATGACAACTTTTCTGCAAAAAAGAGGCGGGGAGAGGGCACCCTTAAGTACTTAATAAGTAAATGTGCTCAAAAATATTTTATAATACTCATTCAAGTACTCAGATACACGTTTTGAGTTGTTAAGGACTTAGTGCATGAGTACATTCACTAGGGTATCTCATAATAAAAAATAATCTAATTCATGCGTCACAAAGTGCAACATACTCTGCGACACATTGTTTCTATCTCATAGAAAACAGTGAAGGTGATGTCTTTTTGATCCGTTATTCGATTTTAAGAATATTTTAACTTCGTTTTGAGTGCTCTACGTAATGCTGACGCGATGAATGTGCCTGAGATATTCATCAATCTCCAAAACGTTAAGTTTCCAAAATCTGGAATTTTTCGTCCAGGACATCTTTTTACATATGCACTCAATCTTCCGTTATTTAAATGCTGTATAAAATGTTGTTCATTTAACTACATTTACACTAATTTTGCTTGTATATAGTCTTCAAATAGCTCTGGTATAATCGTTTATACTTTATTAATGAACTTATGTAAATAAATTTTGACTCTTTCATTGATTGTCTTAAATTTGTGTGTGAATTTTATTTTATTATTTGAGAACATCGTACCATCGATTCACTATTCTGTGAACTTTTATTTTCTTTGATATTTTTATTGTCATTTACTTTGTGAATTTAGTCGAAGTTGATTATTATCGAAGAATAACATCCATTCTTTGTATCAATCGTCAGGAGTGTAGAACAAAGTATGACAATGAATTAGTCTTATCAAATAAACAACGAATACATAATTTTTCTCTCGATAATTTCTAACTAAAGATCAGTGAACTACTTTCAATATACAGATTTTTTTTTCTTTTTTTGGCATTTTTTATTATAATCAGAAAGCTATATTGATTGATAAACGTAATCCTTTCCTATAAGCTCCTAGAAAAATTGATTTTAGTGTTTGACATAAGTAAATTTAATGCACAACATTCTTATTTTAAAATCTGTAAACAAATCTTAGAGAATTAATTTCTAATTTTCATTAATTATTTGATGCACAATTTCAGATAAACTAGAAGATCTTCTATTTTTCCTCACCATTCGAAGATAAATTGTATTTTTGAGTACAACACGATGGTACGTTTTTCAATGATTGTAGAAATTTTATCCTGACACTACTCGTAACTACGAACATGTTCAACTTTTAATTTGTTCATAGAGCCTTGATCAAGACTTTCTTGTTGCGAGAAGCTGAAAAAACTTTTCAGTTTAATACATTTATTGACAAATTCTAACCGTTTTATTAGAGATGCCAGTGAAAGAAAAGGAAATAAAACAGTCAACACAAAAGAAAAAGAGGATAAATCTCTCTACACATACTCACACACAAAGTTTATCATCACAGACTTGATAAATAAACATGAAATTGATCATCGGAGTACACACACACACACGTTGAGTTGAACAAGCAGTTTTTGAAACCAAAAGACAAAAAGAAAAAAACGATGACTATCATTCAACAAAAATCGAACGGAAATAGATAGAACAGATAAAACAAAACAAAAAATTTTGACAAACAGTACAGACATACAAAGGCAAAGCCGCAATCTCTCACTCATCTAGTTTCAAATAAAAATCAAATCTACATACACTCACATACACATGGAGTATAAAAAAAAGATCATTCACTAATACACAGCGCAAAAAAAAACATGAAGATAAACAACAAACAAATAGATTCGTAGACAAATTTTGTTAATTGCATTTTAAAGACAATAAAATATGTTTCAAAATGCAAAACAAAATCAACAAGATAATAGAGAAAATAAATAAATAAAGTGTGAGATACAACATGTGAACATGAAATAATTACATCGGATGAAATGTTGACTAATTAAAAACAATGTATAGCGCGCTATCCATCACAATGTAACTCAGATCTGGCAATGGCATATGACGAGAAATCATCTTTTTTTTTTTTTTCTTTCTCTAAAATAATTTCAACTGTCATCTCAATCAAATAAAATACAACCGAGTGAAACTGTACTAACATCTTTCTCTTTAATAGTTGAATTGTGATTTTATCAAATCATAAAGCACACTCAACACAGACAATACAGTTTTTTAGTCAAGACAAATAATATCCTCATTTTCATCGTCACTAATGATCACCATTTGTTCTTGTTGTAGTTCTTTGCCATGAGTAATGAAAATATCCAATGGTTTTCCTTCCATTGCAGGTTGTTGCGATGGTATGAAATATTCTACCATCCGAAAGCATTTCTTGTCCATAACTGTATCGTAGATATTATATGTGATATTCGACTTTTTGTGTAGTTGCCAATGTGAATGAAGATCGTATGCTAGAGTATCAAACGAAAGAACTTGTCGAATGTTACATATGAAACATTTCAGACAGATACTATCGAATTTGGATAGATGTGCTGTTTGTAGTAATGGAGCTTTGGTCATATTTTCAATCAGATAATCACTGTTGTTGACAGTAATCGTTTTCTGACGTTTTGTTGTGTTAGAATTTGTTAATTCGGTGAGATCACATGGTGATTTGGATGGAAGCGCTTTTCGTTTGAACGTTGATGGTATTGATTGTGGTTTATTTTCATTTGAAGGTGAAGGTGATCGTTTTATTTGATATTTCTTCTTTCTTGATCGAAGCTTTTTCACTTTTACTGTTGTTGTTATTGCTGTTTTTGATTGTTGTTTTATAGCTAATGAAGTTAAATTTGATTTTTCATGAAACTAGAATGAGAAGAGATAACATACTATGATTTATAATTTAAAGATGGATATATCGATGAAAAATTGAAAGAAATCTGTCTATCTATTATTTAGAATGAATCAAAACAACTTGTTTTCAAATAAAAAAATTCACATTTTTGTTTTTGATTGAAACAAAAACAAAACAATTTGGCTGAATTTCATTAATTATTTTTCGTTTCTTACGTTCGCAATACGAGTTAAAAACTGGGAAACAAAACACAATTTGAGACGCGATATGGTACTATGTTTAAGTTCAATTTGAAAAGAGATCAATTTTAACAAAAAACAATAAGTTCATAGAAAAGTACAATGAGAATTAAAAAAGTTTACTTGTTTAATTGGTAATAAATTTTCAATCGGAGGTGAATTTAATCGATGTAATAGAACAGTACATGGTCTAATACCAGCATTTCGTAATATTGCATGATATTGTACTTGTCGTTTCATATGAGTATCTAAATAAATAGAAAAAAATTATATTTCACCTTCTAATTGAAAGTCAGAATTATACATTCTGAGAAAAAGAGTCATTTTCTGCTACTGACTCATATGATATATTCATAACTTTATGTGTATGATTCAGACATACATTTAAACGTTTTTATATGAAAAATTTTAAAAACATTTTAGTAACTATGTGAAATAATGCTGATAATATCTCATAAATTTCTGTTTTAATTTATTGAGTGTAGTCTTAGATTACCTCGACGTCGTGGGAAATATATTGGACTAGTACTCGTCGTAATTAATCTATCACATGTTTTTATTTGTTTATCCAATGATATATCGATATTCTCTGTAGCACAATATTCTTCATATAGTTTTATGATAGATATTTCCCATAAATCAAATACGACAAAATAAAGTATATCTTTGATATCAAATTTATTTAAATTTAATAAACAGAGGGGCATAGCTAATTCTGCACTAGTTGATATTCGTTTTCGAGTTCGACGTTTGAACGGAGTAATGGGTAATGGAACTCGTACGAGTGATTTTGACAATGTTTCGATTTGTTTCTGTTGTGGCTTTGATTTCAGACCAAGAGCCGACATCAAATGTCTAACATCATTATCAAAAGTCAATGGCTCTTCTTTCACTGGTGGTTGAATATTGTTATTATTATCATCTCTCATTGTTGTTATATTCCATTTGATTAGAGAGGGTAAACAAGGCAATGTTTGACAAATAGTGTCATCTGTTTCGATACAACATAATGTCATTGTTATTTGGATTAGAAATCAGTTCACAATAACAAACAACAATAAGAAGAAAAAATGTCTGTAAGTAGAGAATATCTAGAAGAATTATGGCAACAACAAACACATGATAAATAGAGAAAATTTGAGCACATTTGTTTGGTCAATCGAAGTACACTTCTGTTTTTGATACTCGGTTACATGCGAAAGTGTTACTTTCAAAATTTCGCGCAACCTTACCTTTTCATTTGTGTTCTGTTGTTAAGAAATTGTTACAAACGCGCACAAAATTCTTTTATGAAGGAGAAAAAATAATAATAATGAAAGTAAGTTCTGGTGTTTTTATTTGTTAATCAATTTGAACGACATACAAGGAAAAGAAAACCCTGTCTACATAATTACAAATATGCCCACATATTTAATCATGATGACGTGTATATGAATAATTACCTTAAAGAAAGAAAGGGAAAGAAAGAAAAAGAAAAGAGAGATGTAGCCAGTGTTAGTTGAAATACGTTAACGCTACGTTCACACTATAAAACTTAAATGAGCACAAAAGAAGCTGATTGGTCAAAAAGTTAACTCTGACTTAAATGATGTTTCGGAGATCATTTAACTTTAACTCTCCAATCATAAATCAGCTCATTAACCAATAATACGGTTTCATTAGACAAGGGAGCTAGCGGCAGTTCAAACATCTGACTCTCTGCTCAATTTGTCTGTTTTGAGAAGGAAGTCAACTTTAGAATGTGAATTCAAACCAGTTAGCAAGCCGCAACCTTTGAGAATACTGAAGCCAGGAAGCAGAACAATTTTAGGGGAAATGTCAAAGAAAATCTTATTGCTGTGTTGAAAGATTTAGGTATGAACACTCTCGCAGTTAACTTCGAGTTAACTCTGAAAAGTTGTAGTGTGAACTTCACCGAGATAAATTACATTCTAAATGTTTTAGTCTCACACTATTATTTATTAATAAAATATGTTGTTGAAAAGAAAACTTTAAAACACAAAATTCCGATAGAAGTTTCACAGAGATAAAAAAATGAGTGATAGTAAAGAATAGATATTATATCCTCTATTTGAATGTTGTTATAGTAACAAGCTTCACTTTCATTATTGACCTCAATAATAATCATCAGTCATTCATTCTTTACTGCATTCCTTTCATGAAGATAGTTTTATTTTATACTATAGAAATTTTCGAGATTATCAAAAAATTCACGGAACAGAGGCTCAGATTAACCAATAGCAAAATTTAGGTTGTAAAAAGCGGCAATGAAGGGGAAAAAAGATGTCAACAATTCAAAAGCGTAAACTAGCGAGGTTCATCCACCATATTGGATTTATTTATTTTGTCTACCATCGTTCCTCACAAAAATGTTTATCTCTTCCTATATCTGTGCTTATTTTTCACTTTGTTGTTTGTGTGAATTTATTTGTGCCGCCAAAATTCCTTGATAAATATTCTACGGATTATGTTCTCACCTTGTGTTTAGCAAAAGTGCTTAATTTAGTACTTCTATTAGTAAAAATTGTGACACATCTGTGTAGTTGTAGCTGTCGACTTCTTATTTTACTATGCGTCAATAACAATAACAACAACAGGAAAGATTAGAACTATTTAATCTAATAAAAATACAAGAGATTGGTTTAAGCTTTAATTTTGAATCAGAACGAAATCGGGAATATAAATTCCTATTATATCATTCTGAAACTTAAACTATTAAAATACAAGATAAATTCTTGCACATAGCTAGAATCGAACACACGAACTTGATCTTTGCAGACGAAGTGCAAAAATCAACTTCGCTATTCTTTCCTATATTCTGCACAATGCTTGAAGTTGTGCAATGACTCGATGTTATCCGTCAATGTATATTTTTGTGTTTTATTTTTGGTTTAAGCTTTAATCTTGAACCAGAACGAAATTGAAAATATAAATTCCCATTAATATCATTCGAAAACTTAAACTATTAAAACACAAAATCAATCCTGAATAGGTTCAATTAGAAGAATAGATTTTGATCACAAAAAGTTGTTTTGTTAATATCAGTAATGATTATAAGGAGATATTAGTATACCTATGGCGAGTTTTTTTTTAAAATATCGACGGTTACTGACGATTCAACCAGAAACTGTCATTATACCGCGCAGTTAACCGACGGTAACTTATTAGACCGCGGTCCAAGAAAATACCGTACGACAACCGTTTTTGCCCATTTACCACTGTATTTTGCACCCGTGACGATAAAAGAAACAGAAAAATTCGAGAGACTTGTTTTTTTCTTCAGATTGAACTTTTCTTTTAGATCAGACAGACTCGTCAAAGTTTGAACTTCGACTCAAGGCAAATTTCTCTCAATCGGAAGCGGTTCTGTCTACACTTACAAGTGCTCAACAATAAAAAGAAGAAAATTGCAAATTACCTTAAAATTTCTGTTCTACGTGTTTATAATGATAAAATACCAGACGGTACAGCTCGTTATACCGACAGTATACAGTGACATACCGCGTGGTTACCGTCGGTATTTTCGTTACTATGGCGTAATACCTCACGGTAACGTTGGTATTTTGCCGGTGTTATGCACCTGGGCAGCGTTAAATTTCACCCACGTCTGATCGAATAAAATTGGCTCTAACCTTAGTTCGCATCATATTTTTTCTACTTCTACTTATTAAAATGCAAGAGGACATCTTTCTTCAAAATCAAAAACGATTCTATCTTAGTTCACAACAACGAAACATCAAAAACAGTCGAAAATGTTTAACTTCTATTCTTTAGTAGTGTATTTAGTCAAAACTTTGCCTGCTACGACAAGCTGTGATATTTGAGTCATCCCATGTACTAAAAATCGACAATTAATCGCGAAAAATCATTCGATTAATCGTGCGCTTAATCGCGAGTTTTTGGTGATTTTAGCGATTAATCACGATTAATTGACGATTTTTTTTTCTAGGTACTAGGTTGGAACCTATCTTAGGAAATACATATTTTTTTCTGTTGTTTCATTGTTTATTAAGTATAATGACATGTACGTAACCCAACAAGGGTCTTACCATCAGCTCAGGTCGGAGTCTTGCCGACGAGTCGATTTTAGACATTACCCAGATACCAGCTGTTCACTGGGCTCCTCGACTTAAGGGACCATAGAGAAGACTCTTGACAACTCTGTTTTACTCTAAAATAAAAAGATAATCTAAATAGAATTGAATTTCTTGTTGAAATCGTATTTCTTATATACATACTTTACGGCAAAATAAAACGGTGAGTAACAAACAATAACCATTTAATCGTTTAAAACTAACAATTAATCACAATTAATGGATGATTATTTAAAAAAAAAGAAAAATCATCGGTCGATTAATTGACGTCAATTAATTTTTTCAAAATCGCGATTAATTGTTAAAAATACCGCGATTTCGTCGACATGAAATGAGATAATTCACTTAAGTTGAGCTGGATAAAGACATTCTATTTCACACTCAACTTTCAAAGAAATCCGATGAAATTTTACACTACAAGAACTATTCTAAAGATAGAAAGTGAGAAGAAGTGAAATAATGGCTTTATTTGCTACATATTTGTGATAGATAGAAAAATTTGTTTTTAACTTGCAATGTTAAGAATACATTTGATAAAGTAGGTAACGATAGTTATGTCCTATACTAACCTAAAGTAGAGTACCGCTTCTTTTTTATTGAGAAAAAAAACTATATTTTTAGGTAGATTGTTCGAGTAGCCCTTAAGCGATAGTTAGCAGAAGTAGAATCGTTACATTATTCCTGTGCTCATCTGTTATGCCTGAATGATTTTCGATGATGTATACTAAGAAAAGCATAGAACTAGCACAAATCAAGTGTTTACCAAATCGTAATTGACAGGAACAAGCAGTGATATTCTCAGATATGACATCTAATTTTGTCAAGCGAATATTACATGCAGAAAAGATATTGGGATTGAGACCAAGAAGCTACATGACTGTAAAAAAACGAATGTTTATCTAAAAATTAAGTGAAGCGTGAAGTAATCTGCCTTTTACTCGTTATTTTTTGTTTTTGAAAACTTCCTTCTGGAGTTTTTGAGAGTCCCTTCTGCTTTTCACGTTATAAAGTCGAAGTTTCCAGAATTTCAGCTTGACAAATCCCACTTTTACGAAAATTTTATCCTTAGAGAAACTTTCTTTCATTCTACAAACAGAAAAAAATTCGATCTAAATACAAAGTTCGAATAATTACAAACCGTCAAGAATTTTCATCGATCACTATAAAAAAAATCATGTAAATAATTCTCTGAAAGTGAACTCCCTTTTGGATTCCGATGATTGTCTAGGCCATTTATTACAAAGCTGAGTAAGTCAGAAGTTTTTCACGTCACACTTCAAGTCAAGTCACTAAAAAAACTTTCAAATCAAGTCCAGGTCGGAAAATTTTTTCCCTCAGTGGGAGTTAAATCAAGTCATTCCTTGAATTTTTTTCTTCCAAGTCAAGTTTGATTAAAATTAAACACAACATAAAATTTGCTAGCACCTTTTGGATGAGATAGTTGTGATAGCCTCAGAAACTTCTTTCATGGTAGAAAATTTTTTAAAAGTCTAATGTTTTTAAACGAAAATCTCTTACTAAAAATGACTTGAAAAAGATTTCTCAGGTCATGTCATACCCCCAAAGTTTTGACTAACGAGGAAACCACTCCAACTGTCCGATCCCTTTTTTCACGAAACCTAGTGAGCAATAGGTAATGGAGTGTGCTGAATATATCATAGTGGTTTGGGCATCTAAGCCTCCAGAGAGCGGTTCTCTGGAAAACCAGTTTTTTAGAAACTCTAAAAGATAACCAAAACTTTTCTTAATAAGGCATAATTGTACCTCGCACATTTCTGATTAAAATGAGACATCTTCCAGCTCTGTACAACCTTTCTTTGCAAAGTTATAGAATTTATAAAAAGAGCCCTAAATGTTCATTGTCAGCCCAAAGCTACAGAAATAAGAAGAAAGTAATTTAACGCTTTTCTTGTAAATTCTAA